ATAATCCTGGAGAAATGCTATTAAATGCTATCATTTTCTATTATCTTGTAATAGCATTTTTAAACACATAAAAAGATATACCCTCATCTCAACTATACAGATCAACAAGCCTTTGGACTCACTGGTGGATTCTTTCAGTGTTATTGTATCTGTCTCAACACCGACTATCATACATGTTCCACCTAACACATTTGTAATTACAATAGTAATATGGTTATCACGTCTAATAGTTAATCATGCACTAATGAATGCAAGATGATTCTACCCAAAGTGCCCTAGTAACCTCGATTACTGCACTGTTCACCCACATACTGACACATTAGATTTAGGGATCACATTTTCACTCTAAATCTCTAAAATCACTCACATTAATCATAATTAGAATTAATTAGGTCAAACACATTGACTAAGGGCCCATTTTCATACATTTCGACCCCGAATCCTAAAACTTGCACTTTCGATATTTTATACATTTCGCACTGAATATTATATTCATTTGCATTCAAAATTTACATTATCATATCAAGCATCATTTAAAAATTCAGCATGCAAAATTTTGGGTCATTTAGATTAAAATTCACACATGTGATAATAATGTTTATAAATCAGGGTTTCGACATTACTGACACCCATTTCTAACCCCTATCGCACTTTTCATTTAAAACAGCCCCACTCAAACTCACACACACATTTAATCATGCAAAACAACCCTTTTATTAAACCCTTTAACCCCCTATTTCACTCACATAATTTTGGTTCTAATCTAGCCCACAAAAAGCATCTCGAACATTTCAAATGATCATTTTTCACATTTTCCTCACCCTCAGTTTAATCCCCATTTGGAACTCATGCTTAACAACTCTTTAATTACGTTTAATATACTTAATTAGACTCACAAAAACCTATTTTGAAATTAAAATAAAACAACCCATTAATTTAAAATAAAAAAGCTCACACACACACACACACACTCATGCTTAAGATTAATCACACGTACCTTCTTCTTCCCCACATTCTTCTTGCTTTCTCTCACTTTCAGTTTGGCATGGAAGCTCCCCAAGTTCTTCCTTTCCTCCTTCCTCCTTCCTCCTTCCTCCTTCCTCCTTCTTTCTTCTCCCTCTCGGTTAGAACTAAAAACACCCACCAAAGTTTGTTTTATCTCTCCCTTTCTCCTTCCTTGCTCTTAGCTCAAAATACACACACATATATATTTTTCTTCCCTTTTTGTTTACTCTCCCTCACTCTCTATTTTCAGCCCATAAAGAACACACACACACACTGATTTATAAATTAAACACACACACACACGACACACAACCACTTAGCCATAAAAATGACTCACCTATTTCATATGTTGACACATATAAGGCTGACTCATNAGCTCAAAATACACACACATATATATTTTTCTTCCCTTTTTGTTTACTCTCCCTCACTCTCTATTTTCAGCCCATAAAGAACACACACACACTGATTTATGAATTAAACACACACACACACGACACACAACCACTTAGCCATAAAAATGACTCACCTATTTCATATGTTGACACATATAAGGTTAACTCACNATACTGTATATAACACATGTCTTATTTTTGTTTGCTAGGTTATATATATGTACAAAAATCTCATATCCACATAGCATATATCTCAAAAGCATGCTTGTTGAGTTTGTTTACAATCATACACTATTAACTTGCCATAATAATCTCTCACTCAATATAATACATAACACAGCAAATAGATATACAGACACTTAACCTGTATCACTTACTCATTAAAACTACAAACATAAGTAACAAACACACAACCTGAGTAATATGACACTAACGTTGTACAAGACTCAACTGACTGGATAGTGGACTGACCTGCATCTCCCTCTATAGTACCTGAAAAGAAGAAGCTATAGAGGTGTAAGCTAAACTACGCACTCAGTGAGTATGCAGGTTGTATATGGAATAGAAATGATAGTAATATATTAAAATAGTTAGATACTACGTAGATACAAGTATCAACCAACAACATCAATCCAATTTCAAAGAATTTATAAGTCACATCTTATCCATACTACCCCTCATCGGGTAATCGATTCCATGTGGATCCGTGTCTCCCGAATCTCCCGGAAACATCACAGTGCTAACACACCACTGCATGCCCAGTGATTAGGAATCGACACTCCTGCCTCAAATAGTGCACCACATTCCACAATGCACAATATACAGTATAAAACATCATTCAATTACATAAACACATAGCACATAATCCTGGAGAAATGCTATTAAATGCTATCATTTTCTATTATCTTGTAATAGCATTTTTAAACACATAAAAAGATATACCCTCATCTCAACTATACAGATCAACAAGCCTTTGGACTCACTGGTGGATTCTTTCAGTGTTATTGTATCTGTCTCAACACCGACTATCATACATGTTCCACCTAACACATTTGTAATTACAATAGTAATATGGTTATCACGTCTAATAGTTAATCATGCACTAATGAATGCAAGATGATTCTACCCAAAGTGCCCTAGTAACCTCGATTACTGCACTGTTCACCCACATACTGACACATTAGATTTAGGGATCACATTTTCACTCTAAATCTCTAAAATCACTCACATTAATCATAATTAGAATTAATTAGGTCAAACACATTGACTAAGGGCCCATTTTCATACATTTCGACCCCGAATCCTAAAACTTGCACTTTCGATATTTTATACATTTCGCACTGAATATTATATTCATTTGCATTCAAAATTTACATTATCATATCAAGCATCATTTAAAAATTCAGCATGCAAAATTTTGGGTCATTTAGATTAAAATTCACACATGTGATAATAATGTTTATAAATCAGGGTTTCGACATTACTGACACCCATTTCTAACCCCTATCGCACTTTTCATTTAAAACAGCCCCACTCAAACTCACACACACATTTAATCATGCAAAACAACCCTTTTATTAAACCCTTTAACCCCCTATTTCACTCACATAATTTTGGTTCTAATCTAGCCCACAAAAAGCATCTCGAACATTTCAAATGATCATTTTTCACATTTTCCTCACCCTCAGTTTAATCCCCATTTGGAACTCATGCTTAACAACTCTTTAATTACGTTTAATATACTTAATTAGACTCACAAAAACCTATTTTGAAATTAAAATAAAACAACCCATTAATTTAAAATAAAAAAGCTCACACACACACACACACACTCATGCTTAAGATTAATCACACGTACCTTCTTCTTCCCCACATTCTTCTTGCTTTCTCTCACTTTCAGTTTGGCATGGAAGCTCCCCAAGTTCTTCCTTTCCTCCTTCCTCCTTCCTCCTTCCTCCTTCCTCCTTCTTTCTTCTCCCTCTCGGTTAGAACTAAAAACACCCACCAAAGTTTGTTTTATCTCTCCCTTTCTCCTTCCTTGCTCTTAGCTCAAAATACACACACATATATATTTTTCTTCCCTTTTTGTTTACTCTCCCTCACTCTCTATTTTCAGCCCATAAAGAACACACACACACACTGATTTATAAATTAAACACACACACACACGACACACAACCACTTAGCCATAAAAATGACTCACCTATTTCATATGTTGACACATATAAGGCTGACTCATGTTAGTGGAATAATTACGCTCGCCTCCCTCCAAGTTCTTAAGTAATTTTAAAATCGACCAACTATTTTTTTACATGAAATTCTATAAATATGTCTCACTAATACTTTACTAACGGAGTCCACATACTCAATTTATGCTCATACACATCATAACTATAAAGAANTGACACATATAAGGTTAACTCACGTTAGTGGAATAATTACGCTCGCCTCCCTCCAAGTTCTTAAGTAATTTTAAAATCGACCAACTATTTTTTTACATGAAATTCTATAAATATGTCTCACTAATACTTTACTAACGGAGTCCACATGCTCAATGTATGCTCATACACATCATAACTATAAAGAGNTTTGTAATTACAATAGTAATATGGTTATCACGTCTAATAGTTAATCATGCACTAATGCATGCAAGATGATTCTACCCAAAGTGCCCTAGTAACCTCGATTACTGCACTGTTCACCCACATACTAACACATTAGATTTAGGGATCACATTTTCACTCTAAATCTCTAAAATCACTCACATTAATCATAATTAGGATTAATTAGGTCAAACACATTGACTAAGGGCCAATTTTCACACATTTCGACCCCGAATCCTAAAACTTGCACTTTTNAGTTTCCTTAAATTAACCCTTTAATAGTTTTACATAATTATAATTTAGCCCACATAAGTATGCTAATATACATGCAATACATAATCGAGTCTCACACAGTTGGAGTATCACATTAGGGATTGTAACGAATCTGGGTATTTGGAGTTACGAAGGTGTGGCAGGGGCACATGCTGTGTTTTCTGGCTTGTGCTTCTTGGCAGCTATTTGGCATTGGGTGTGTTGGGATCTTGAAATATTTTGTGATGAACATATATGAAAGCCTTTTTTAGATTTTTTCAAAATCTTTAGAATTCATTTATTTCTTGCNCACATGCTGTGTTTTCTGGCTTGTGCTTCTTGGCAGCTATTTGGCATTGGGTGTGTTGGGATCTTGAAATATTTTGTGATGAACATATATGAAAACCTTTTTTAGATTTTTTCAAAATCTTTAGAATTCATTTATTTCTTGCCTTGCTTTGGTTTTGGTGTATTACATGTAACATGCTTGTATGGTCTTGGAATATGGGTGTCCAATCCCACACCAAATGAATCAATTCGATTTTGGTCTAATAGAAATTTAAATTGGTGATTTTTTTTTTAATTCTTCATTGATTATAGAGCCCCAAATCAACCTAATGCTCAGGTTAATCCCTTCATTTGGGATGCAAATTTGGATTACATAGTATTGCTCATAAAAAAAAATAGGTATTTCTTGCATAAATTGTAGAGTTGTAGAAGTGTTGTTAAACTACATCTCAAGAAGCGCATTCAAATGCTCTATTTCAACAAAGGGATCTAAAATAGAAATGAAAAAATTAAATCAAAACTATAATATGCACCAAATAGTAGTCACAAAAGCACATTCATCTATAAATAACACATTTGTTATAGAATTCCTCTATATACACAGTTAGATTGGTAATATTGTTTGCATGTAGTCTTGAGCAAATTAGTATAAGAACTGCAGAGGTAATGAATGGTTTGGAGTAGTTCGATTCGTTAGTGTTTCTTTGCTTCTCTTTCAGCCTGCAAGCAACTCGAAGAAAAGGGAAACAACATGAGAAAGAGAGAGAGGCACACAGATACACATATGTAGAGAAGGGGGCGGGGGGGATGGGAAGAGAGAGGTCCTTTAAATTTTTCTTACTGCTTTGACCACTCGATCGAATGCATCTGCTCCATAGTTCTCAATGAACAGCTCTACCGACCTCCTAGCGTCAAGGCTCAACATCTGGAGAACCTTTCTCTGCCCCTCGGGATAAGTCGAGCTTACATGGCTTCCAACTTTCATATACTTCCTCACGAAATTTTCGTATACATATGCTGCTCCATTGAAAATTGGTAGCACCAACCACATACACAACACAAGCTTGGTGTATGGCCAGAATGGAAGCCTATCATGGTATGATATCACTCAAGATGAGAGAAGGAAAATATGTAAGACACCTTTTATATTCATCTGTCTGCTTATACATTACCATTGGAGGATTTTCCCACAGGATAGCTCAAAGAGGGTTAAAAAGGAGTACAAAATCCAATACGTTAACCATTGCTGATCATCTAGTGTTGATGGGCTCTCAATTGCTCTCATTGATGCATATCTGATAATTCATGAGGATGTATTAGTCATTGGCAATGTATTTATTTACTTTTTTTTGTATGTAAATCTACTAAGAGATTCTCAACTTACAGAGGATAAAGAAGCATAACTCCTGGCCTGGTATACATGCAAAACAAACAACATATCAGCTTAGCTTACCCTTTTCTTGGATATATTAGTATCCGATCTGATTTTGATTTTATTTAAATTAGATAAAAATAAATATACGATTATATTGAGTGATTAATTGATGAAGTTGAGTTTAATGTCGGATGTAATCTATTAAAATTCAACTGCAATTGCAATTGAGATATTCAGATCAGATTTTTTGTTTATGTCGGATTCAATATTTGATAGATATGAAAACCAGACCAATTGAAATTTGATTCGAATCCGATATGCTAACATGTGTAAGTGTGAAATGTAGTGACAGAGAAATAATAGTACCCGACAAGTGCATCCAAATTTCTAGTCATTGCTCCGACGACACCCATGTTGAATTGCTCTTATCGTCCTCTGTGGAAATGCTACCAGTTTTCTTCTCTGGTCGATCAATGAAGTGAAATTTTCTCCGAGTTAATTGGAAATATGAGATGTTCCCAGCAGGTTTTATAGCACAAGGGATTTAGGATTGACGCAATCAAGTAAAGAATATCTTTTTGGATGACCCAAAGTCTTCTTTCTCCAACCAACAAGAAAGAGGAAAGACAAAGTGAAAGCAAACAATGGAAAGGAGGAAATGCCAAAGGACTTCAAATCTTCTCCTCAGCACTTATGGATCCTCTACCACATACACACACGTACCTATATATATATATATGTGTGTGTGTGTGGTGTGATTATTGCTCTTTTTGAAATCTTTAGAAAAATTATTTAATGGATCTAAGAACATTTGATGATTTAGAATTATTGATGAGTTAGTATTCAGTATGAAGGTGACATTAGATCCTCACAAACAATCTTAACGAAAACAGTAAAATGGATTCAAGACTCTTAAATTGTATTGATGATGAAATATTCACTAACACAAAAGCACGTCATCGCGTGCACACACACATGCATTAATATCGGTGTTTCATAATAATGGTTAAATGGATTCAGTATCTTGGAGAATTGATGACTAAATTGTTAGCATTTGGATATGGAGTTGGACCGGCGCCCATAGGCGAGCACAATTCCGATAGATAAGAATGGGTTAGTGTTTTGAACTTAAAGTTGGTCAAGCCTACAGATGGATTTGATTTCTAAAATTTCTCCACCTTATCACCATAAGTGTTATATATCTCTATATATATAGTGGGATTCTATAAAAATTACTAAGATTGACGCTCTCAATTCTCTCGATATATCGTGACTTGCNTTAGTGTTTTGAACTTAAAGTTGGTCAAGCCTACAGATGGATTTGATTTCTAAAATTTTTCCACCTTATCACCATAAGTGTTATATATCTCTATATATATAGTGGGATTCTATAAAAATTACTAAGATTGACGCTCTCTATTCTCTCGATATATCGTGACTTGTGTGAGACTCTATAACGGTAGAAATCTAGGTTTGGCTCACTTTGCCACAATGGAAAAAACAATATACACTCCCAAGGACAATACAATAACACGCTGATGGTAATACACTTAATTTTTTTCCTTGAACGATCTTTGACTCATTTTCTTCACATCAAATAGTAATTTTTTTGTCTCGCTTGATTAACCCAAATGGCTAGTTTCAAACTTGGTTCATATTCTTAATTATAACTCATAAAGAGTAGTGATCAATATATAGGTTGATCATAAATGGTTTAAGATATGGAACATTACAAACATAACTTCCACTTACTCTTTTGGGAGCCATAACAGGTAGTGATTAGTTTCCATTTGGCAAAAGACTTGTATTTAATGAGCCAACATTGCTATGTTGGTTAAGATATTTTACCAAGTTTTTCTTTCCAAGTGACGAGTAACAATTTTTACTATCAAATAAGTGGGTCTACTAATATTTAATGATAGAGATTGTGTCACATCACTTATGATGAAAAACTTTGTAAACATAACATTATTATTAGGCTCGTTTGATTGTTCTATTAAAAATGGATGGATTAGATAGACTAATTCAGTCTAATCCAATACGGAAGGACAAAATACAAGATTAAATAAGGTATTAGAATAATATGTAATTTTATCTAGTGTTTGACAATACACAACGTAAACGTTGGATAATAATTATTTAATCCAATTGGTCATTTAGTTAAGAAATTATTTAATCGTATTAATGTTGAATTAACAAAAATATCCTCAATCAGTGTTTGTTACATTGATGACAACTTGATTTTATCAGTTATGGGAATATATTAATAAATGTGTAGAATAATACGTTTGAATTAGATTATAATACTACCTTTTTTTGGTATTAAAATATCTCCATAATATAGGTCTATCGTATAAAAAATATACGATAAATATATAATTAGTATACATTTTTGAAATTAATACGGTATCAAATTTGCATACCAAATAAAATATTAAACTCGATTAAATAAAAAATAGTATATTCTAATATTTAATCTTTTTATAATATGTCTACCAAACTATCCCTTAATAAACAACTAGCGTCCGCCCCATGCATAATCCGCATCTCTTTTTCTTTTTTTATTTTATCAAAGTTTTTGGGTGATAAAAATAATTCTTTTGAATAATTTTTAAAAAAATAGTGATTAGTTATGGAGGAGTTGAGGGCTACTTAAAAAAACACATGGTAGTGTTTGATTGGAGGGATCCTTAAATTTTGACTTGAAAAATTCTTAATTCTAAGAAATTAGAAAATGAAGAGGGAAGGCTTTTCAACCCCTCTTACCTCTAAATTGTTTGTCATATACCAGCACCATACGATGCACGAAAATTTTATCTTATAGACAAATAATTATAAAAACATGGGGTGATACTAAGTATTTTTAAGTTTAGTTGAGGGGTAATTATGCCACATGATGAAATATAATTGGATTGGATGTATTAACATAAATCAAAATTTTAAGAATTGAGAGAATAGGGAGGGAAAACCTCTCAGGGTCTCTCAATTTCTACTAATTTGTTTATATATATAATAAAACACTTAGCAACTTAAATTTTTATCTCTTACATATTTTTTCTCTTAAAAAATCACATCATCTATTTCTACTGCATGTTCAATCATTTAATATTTGATTAATTTGTAGTTTAACATAATTTTTATTTCAAATATTATCCATACACAATAGTATATATATGTTAAAAAAATTTAATATAATTAAATCAATTTTTTGGGTGATCGAATTTTATGTTAAATCGTACTTACAGACACAAGTTATAAATAATATATATATCGTGTCTAAAGACACTATATAACCAAAAAAACTCAGNAATATGTAATTTTATCTAGTGTTTGACAATACACAACGTAAACGTTGGATAATAATTATTTAATCCAATTGGTCATTTAGTTAAGAAATTATTTAATCGTATTAATGTTGAATTAACAAAAATATCCTCAATCAGTGTTTGTTACATTGATGACAACTTGATTTTATCAGTTATGAGATTATAATAATAAATGTGTAGAATAATACGTTTGAATTAGATTATAATACTACCTTTTTTTGGTATTAAAATATCTCCATAATATAGGTCTATCGTATAAAAAATATACGATAAATATATAATTAGTATACATTTTTGAAATTAATACGGTATCAAATTTGCATACCAAATAAAATATTAAACTCGATTAAATAAAAAATAGTATATTCTAATATTTAATCTTTTTATAATATGTCTACCAAACTATCCCTTAATAAACAACTAGCGTCCGCCCCATGCATAATCCGCATCTCTTTTTCTTTTTTTATTTTATCAAAGTTTTTGGGTGATAAAAATAATTCTTTTGAATAATTTTTAAAAAAATAGTGATTAGTTATGGAGGAGTTGAGGGCTACTTAAAAAAACACATGGTAGTGTTTGATTGGAGGGATCCTTAAATTTTGACTTGAAAAATTCTTAATTCTAAGAAATTAGAAAATGAAGAGGGAAGGCTTTTCAACCCCTCTTACCTCTAAATTGTTTGTCATATACCAGCACCATACTATGCACGAAAATTTTATCTTATAGACAAATAATTATAAAAACATGGGGTGATACTAAGTATTTTTAAGTTTAGTTGAGGGGTAATTATGCCACATGATGAAATATAATTGGATTGGATGTATTAACATAAATCAAAATTTTAAGAATTGAGAGAATAGGGAGGGAAAACCTCTCAAGGTCTCTCAATTTCTACTAATTTGTTTATATATATAATAAAACATTTAGCAACTTAAATTTTTATCTCTTACAAATTTTTTCTTNTCTCAATTTCTACTAATTTGTTTATATATATAATAAAACACTTAGCAACTTAAATTTTTATCTCTTACATATTTTTTCTCTTAAAAAATCACATCATCTATTTCTACTGCATGTTCAATCATTTAATATTTGATTAATTTGTAGTTTAACATAATTTTTATTTCAGATATTATCCATATACAATAGTATATACATGTTAAAAAAATTTAATATAATTGGATCAATTTTTTGGGCGATCAAATTTTATGTTAAATCGTACTTACAGACACAAGTTATAACTAATATATATATCGTGTCTAAAGACACTATATAACCAAAAAACTCAANAGACAAATAATTATAAAAACATGGGGTGATACTAAGTATTTTTAAGTTTAGTTGAGGGGTAATTATGCCACATGATGAAATATAATTGGATTGGATGTATTAACATAAATCAAAATTTTAAGAATTGAGAGAATAGGGAGGGAAAACCTCTCAGGGTCTCTCAATTTCTACTAATTTGTTTATATATATAATAAAACACTTAGCAACTTAAATTTTTATCTCTTACATATTTTTTCTCTTAAAAAATCACATCATCTATTTCTACTGCATGTTCAATCATTTAATATTTGATTAATTTGTAGTTTAACATAATTTTTATTTCAAATATTATCCATACACAATAGTATATATATGTTAAAAAAATTTAATATAATTAAATCAATTTTTTGGGTGATCGAATTTTATGTTAAATCGTACTTACAGACACAAGTTATAAATAATATATATATCGTGTCTAAAGACACTATATAACCAAAAAAACTCAATAATTAAAAGGTTGAACCCCAATTAAAAAATCAAATTACTTTAAATTTGAACAAAATGTTCCTTAAAAATAAAACTCCTAAAATATTTTAACCCATATATCAAATACATAACCATACCCTAAAGACTACCAAATTGGACCCTCTGTCATGCTATAATCCAGCCTAAACACAAACACGCATCTACGATAGACACACACACACATACCTATCGAACATCACAACAGTGACCCAATAACCCCACAGTCGATCAAAAAATAACAAACAAAGAAAATCCAACCACAGATACACGTCGGTTTTTTTTTTTTTTTAGGGTAAGGACCGATCATAATACTTTTCCCAAACAACCTCAATTCCATACATCTTCACATCCATAGATAGCCATTGCATACACTAAAAACTAGAGTTAGGTCCTTTAATTCAGAGCATTAAAAAAAAATAAAAAAAAAGGAGCAAACAGACTTCACATAGAGCAAACTAAGATTCCCATAGCATTAGAGGCACAACAAACCACTTCACCAATCAAAGAGCATATTTTTCCAAATACAAATTTTTTGTAACAATCAATTTCGTGGATAATGCCCCCCTCACATAAAAATGAAATTCAAATTGGTGAAACAATATGCATTTATTTTTAAATTAAACTTAAATCTAGACAGTTTTATTCATGATTCAAAATTACAATGAAAGTGGGGGGACATGAGCCTAACCCCTTTACTAGGAAACAACTTACATAGCAAGCAAAATAAAATAGAATAGTATAAAAATAAAGTTCCTAAACAAAAGGGCTAGAATAGTTTAAGATTATGTCAAAGGATACCACCAAAGCTTTGCAACTTCGGCGAAAAGAGTTCCGTGTGCGAGACTAACTCATGCCTTATCACTGTCCTAGGAGATGATGAGAGAAAAAATCCCATCAGGATATCCTACCCAAGAACTTGCCAAAAAATCCGTTAACCACACACCATCTATGCCATGGAATTTTAGGAAGAGAAGATTATTTCGAAAAATCAAAGCAAATTACCCAATACATCCCACTATATAAACCATCTTTACCAATCTATTCTCTTCTCAAACCAAGCAGTCTACTCTACTCCCCCTAAGAACTCTCTGCCAATACTTCTCCAGTTTGCAGAAATGTCCACTTCATCTAATTCTCAACCTCCATTGCCACTGCACTTATGTTTCTTCCTCCTAATACTCTTCATGTTTGTGGGCTTCTCGTGGTACATGAAATGTGAGTCACTGTTCGAAGGACTCTTTGATCAGATCATACTGGTCCTCATGGTGTCACCATTGTTGCTGCTTCTAGCTGTTCACTTGCTTTCGGTCTTTGTAGAGGTCTTTGTTCTTCATATCCTTGCCCCAGCAGGACTCTCTTCACAGGGCTGGTGGGACCCCTTGGGGTGTTGGGGTTGCTTCTTTGTGCTTCTGTTCTTCATGATCTCTTACCAGTCTGACTTCAGAGATCGTTGGTTTCCTCTAGTAAGCAGATGATGGCAATGTTGACGATAACGATGGATCGGTTATGGACGAATCAGTTACTAAACTATGGTACTTTTTGGACTCTATTCCATATTTACCATGTAATTATTGTATGAGCTTGTTGCTAAGGAAGCCATGGTACTGTTTTCAGATTTTTGTGGGTCCTATAAAATCAAGTGTAATTAGACTTCCAACTCCTGTGCCTAATTGTCAATCAAGAATGTGATATGTTCTCGTGTCAACGGCGGTCCTTAGGGAGAGTCTACGGATTCTTCCGTCTAGCCCCTCTGAGGGGTTTCCCTAGTGGGTAAATGTTATTATAGTCACGTTCTTGCAGGCCATCTAACGCCCAGATCTGAAGACTCAATCACCTCTTTCTCTCTCTCTCTCTAGATCTACAAAATACTCTGAAGTTGGTAAATTTGTTGATCAGACTAAGGGCCTTTATATGGGTTTTTTGGAGTTCTCTGTGTCATGGGTTCGTAGAAAAGACAATGAGGTTACTAATAGTTTAGCTAAATTTGTAAATAATTGTATGGATAGTATTGTTATGGCGGGGGGGAGTGTCCTATATTCTTGATGTCTCTCCTCCAACATGATGTAAATGTGTTGTCTTAAGAAAATTCAAAATTGTTTCAATCCAAAAAAAAAAAAAATTGTGGCAATTGACAAAGAGCAATGCTATGTAATCTAAATTTGTAATCCAAATTTGTATTTCAAATGAAGGGGATCATTAGATCAGTGGGTCGTATTTAAAAAATATGATGTGACCCACTCATCGAATGATTTTCTTTCATTTGAGATGCAAATTTTAGTTTCAAATTTGAGTTACACAGTATTTTTCTTTTTCATTAAACTAAATTTTGCTCACTCTTGACAACTCAGTTCCTCAAATATTTTTTTTTTGCTCCTCTGCTAACATACTAAATATTATGTTGATCACCTTGGGGATTTGGTTAGGGGGAGGCAGTTGTTCGTTTCTAGTGAGAGAAACTCTCATTTCTCTCCAAAATTTTTTGGGTTTGTTGCGGTTTGATTTGCTTTTCTTGGTAGGATTTCCTGATTGATTATGAATTTTGATCATTTCGTCAGATACCTCCAAAACCTCCTGATATTGCAAAGACTTTTGCATCACTTATCAAGAATTCATCGAATTCTGTGAATTTCTTGAACTTTGTCGAAAAATGGCGGGAATCTTGAAAATGGTTTTTCTTCTTCTGTGAAGCTAGTTAATCAAGGAAATTATCTGTGTATGCCTCCTGATCCCTCTCAAATCCTGTCTTTTTATCATATCTCTTCAGTGCCACAAATCCCTTCGAGTTTGTTCGTAGCTTCAGGTTTGCAAAATTCTTCAATTTCTCAGAATACTCTGGTTTCTCAGTTTCCTTCAAATTCCCAAACCACTTTGATCTCTCAAGTTCTTTTGGTTTCTAATGCTACGATTGTATCTCAAATGCGTTCGAATTCTCCAACTTCTTTGATTTCACGACTTCCTTTGTCTTCTCAAAATTTGTCTTCTCATATCATTGTGGTTCCATAGCAGAATGTGAATGGTGGTCAAATGGAGGTGGCTTCAAAGAATTTGATGTTGTCTATTCTTGTTCCAAAGCCAGCAAAAAGGGTGGTATATAACAACGATGAACCTAGTATATACTGGTTTGCGGATGAAACCCTAGAGTTTTCAAAACAGTTTAATCAAACCCTAATTGGAAAGTGTGCCTACGGTAAGCCGTTGTTAGGTGTAATAAGGGAGTTTATTAACTCTCGCTAGCTTCCCAAGGGAGAATTCATGGTGGAAGTGCTTGATCCCAGACATGTACTGATATGATTTTGTCTATACAAGATTATGTGAAGATGTGGCTCAAGGACGCGACTTACATCGATGGGTACCTCTTTCGCTTCTTCAAATGGTTTCCAGAGTTTTTCCTGGGATAGAACCCCCTGTAGTGCCAATCTGGATATCATTACCTAGTTTGCCTATTCACTTATTCAACAGTGACAGTCTCAGGGATATATTGAGTCCCCTATAGGAAGAATTTTGATGATTGATACTCTTACACTTACCTTTTCCAAACCAGGTGTGGCTAGAGTATGTGTTGAAGTTAACTTGTTGGCTAAAAATTCGAGAAGGTTTTGGTTAGGGCACCGTATTTGCTACGAGAAGGATTGTAAATATTGCCCAAATTGCTTGAAACAAGGGCACGATGAAGATTTGTGTAGGAAAAGGAGAAAGAAGGAGATGGAGGTCAATAAGCAAAATGAACATGTTCCTGCTGAGGTAGTGAATCACAATGTTGTGAGGAATGTTGATAATATGAGGGAAAAGGTTTTTATTCAGGTGGGAAATAATCAAAAAGGTGAAAAGGTTTTCAAGTAGAAGTATGTTGAAATTGTGGATGTGGAAGTGAATAGGTTTGGTCCCCTGACTAATAGAGGTGATATGGGTTCTACTAATGGGGAGGGTTCAGGAAAGGATGAGTTGTTTGTTGCTCAGGTTACTGAAGATGAACAGTTGGTGGGGGTCAGGCCAGAAGAGAGATGGGAGCCTCAGAAGAAATTAGTTGTTGTTCAATTAGAGTGATCACATGAGGATGTTGTAGGTGGGGATGGTATGGGTGAAAATATTGAGGAGAATCAATTGAGTCAGGATGATGAGGGGAGGGTGGATCAGTTGATAACTGTGGGTGAGATGCAAATGTTATCTGTTGGTAATTCTGATAGAGCTGGTGGTGGTGAAATTTGTGGTTTAAATAAAAAGGATTCTCTTCTTTCTGGAGGTTCTTTTTATGAAAATCATCATTATGTTACAAGAGTGGGTGTAAATGGAATTATGGATGATGAAACAGGGATAGTAAGGAGGACTGATCCGCCTGATAAAGGATATTGGTCTGATGATGGATGTTTGCTAAGAAGAAGTAAGTCCAGGGGTTATCTGAGGTATGTTGATGATGATCAGGTTTCAGAGTCTGATTATTTGGACGTAGGCTCTCTGGATTTATCTGATAGGCAGAGGCCAAGAGGTAATTCCTTTAATTTTTAATATGATCAGTTGTTTATCATGGAATATGAGAGGAGTTGTGAAAGCTTCTAAGAAGAGGAGACTTAAAAAGCTTGTAAGTATGCATGATATATGTATGGTTTCTATTTATGAACCTAAGATGGATGGGGGTAAATTGCATGATTTGGAAAGGTATTTGGGAGTGTCCCAATCTATTTTCAATCCCTTAGCTGGACGTAATTTGTGACTGCTTTGGGATAATAGGGTGAATGTTCAGGTTGTAGCTCAACATGAACAAGTTTTAACTGTTATGGTGTCTTATTTGGGTTCTAAAGATGTATTTGTTTCTTGGGTGTATGCCTGCTGTGATCATATTTTAAGAAGGCCCCTTTGGCTACATCTATTATCTCTGCCTATTCCTTTGGGGTCAGTATGGATGGTGGGAGGTGACTTGAATGCAATTGCGCATTCAAGTGAAAGGTTAGGGGGAGCATTTCCATCATGGGTTTCAATGGAGGAATTTGGGGAATTTGTACACAATGCTAGACTACAAGATGTGGGCTTTAGTGGAAGTCAATACATCTTGTGTAATAATAAACATGGAAATTGTAGAATGTGGCAAAGGATTGACAAATTTATTTTTAGCCCTAGTTGGTGTTTAAGATTTGGTAAGACTAAAATTTTTCATTTAGGAAGAGGGGTGTCAGACCATTGTCCGTTACTGAATAAAATACAGAAGACTATGCAAGTGAGGATCTCTTATTTTAAATTTCAAGACATGTGGGTTGAAGACCCAGGTTTTCTGGCTCTTGTTTTTGAGAAGTGCGAGGGAGTTATTCTCAAAATCCAATTGAGAGTATTTTCTTGAAATTGAAGTATTTGAAAGCTCACTTAAGGAAATGTAATATTGAGGTTTTTGGTAATATTTTTGAGAGGTTAAAGAGGTTGGAGTTAGTTGTGGTTCAGGCAGAAGTTTCTCTTCAAAAGGATAACTCTGTCAGTAATGAACAGGCTTTGGATGGGGCTCAGAAAGAGCTTGATGAGGCTTTGAGAATTGAAGAAATTTTTTAGAGGCAGAAGACAAACATTAAATGGGGTATGGGAGGGGGGGAAATACTCAGTTTATCATGCTTTGACAAAGGAGAAAGCTATGAGGAACAAAATATACAAAATTTAAAATGGTGCAGGTCTATGTGTCAAGACTGATGAGAAGATTGGTGAGGTAGCTGTGGATTTTTACTCTTCTTTATTTAAATTTGAATAACATTCATTGAAGNTGTGTCAAGACTGATGAGAAGATTGGTGAGGTAGCTGTGGATTTTTACTCTTCTTTATTTAAATCTGAATAACATTCATTGAAAGAGGAATTATTTTATGATATTCCACTTCTAGTTACAGTTGGAATGAACAGAGATCTTCTTGTTGAGGTTTCAGAGGATGAGGTAAAATCTGTGATTTTTTCAATGTTTGTAAGAAATGCTCTGAGAGTAGATGTTTTTTCTAGAAAATTCTTCCAAGTAGCCTAGGTCATTATTAAAGGTGATGTGATAAGGGTTGTTAATTTCTTTCTTAGAGAAGGTAAAGTTCCTAGATCAGTTAATGCTATGTTGTTAGTGTTGATTCTTAAGAAAGCTAGTCATATGTCTTTCTCAGACTTTAGGCCAATAAGCTTATGCAATTTTTTGTATAAACTTTTTATAGAGCTTTCAGCTGTTAGATTGGCATTTGTCTTGCCTATTGTGGTTTCACAAGAGCAGCATGACTTTGTTAGAGGGAGAAATGTTGGGGAATATGTTGTTTTAACACAGCTTATGGTGGATGATTTGGATAGGAAGGTAAAGGCAGGGAATTTAATTCTTAAATTGGATATGCTGAAAGCTTACAACAGGTTGGAATGAGATTTCTTGTTTAAAGCTTTGTTGGGCTTTAGATTTTCTGAATTGTTTGTTAATATCATTTTCAATTGCTTGGAGAGTCAATTTGTGTCAGTATGTGTTAATAGTAAGAGAGTGGGTTTTTTCCCTTCATCCAGGGGATTGAGACAAGGGGATCCAGTATCCCCTAGTCTTTTTATTTTGGCAGAGGCGGTTCATAGTAGAGGTATGAGAAGCTTGTATTTGGAGGGAAAGATAAAATCTTTTCACCTGGGTAAAGGTACCTCTTTAGTTAGCCACTTATTGTTTGCAAGCGATACTTTGGTGTTTTTGAGGAGTGATAAGAAGTTAATGAAGAATCTGTTGAAATTTTTAGGGGATTGTGAGTCTTGTTCTAGATAGAAGATTAATGTGCAGAAAATTTCTATGTACTGTTTCAAGATTGATCTCTGACAGTAGAAAATTGGAGTTATCTGCTCTAGCAGGTATACCTGTTAGGAGCTATCCTTTTACATACTTGAGATGCCCTATTTTTAAAGGGAGATTTAGAATCAAATATTTTGAGGATATTATAGCTAAATTCAAAGCTAAGTTGGAAGGATGGTATAGAAAAATGTTGTCGAACATTGGTAGAGTTCTAATGGTTCAGTTTGTATTAAATACCATTCCAATTCATCTCTTGGCCTGTCAGAATTTACTCAAGACTGTCATTCATAAGTTGAATGGTATAATGGCTGGTTTTATATGGCCAAACAAAATGGATATTAGGAAAAGGCATTGGGTTTCATGGGACAAAGTTGTTTTACCAAAAGCTGAAGGAGGGTTGGGGGCTGAGGAGGTTTGAGAATTTGTAGGTGGCTATTAGGATGAAACAGGTGTGGAACTTGTTGCAGGGAAGTTATTTATGGGCAAGGGTATTTGATACTAAATATTTAAAGGGAAAGCACTTGTTGAGATGTGTAGGAAGGAGTCACATCAAGAGTTTGGAGCTGTTAAGGCCTTATTTTGAGAAGGTCATTGTGCACTTTATGAGATTGGTGGGGAAAGGAGATCAGACAGATTTTTGGTGTGACTATTGGTTGAGGGATAGTCCTATTACTTAGATTAGATAGTATGCCAACTTTTTTCCCAAAAGTTTGTGAGGTGTTGGTTGATTCTAATTGGCAGCTAGGACAGTTTGGGCAATTGATTAGTGACCGATCAAGGAGGTGTTTAGAGCTGGGATTACTTTGACATATTCTGCTAATAAGCTGGTTTGGCAAAGGTCAAGTTTTGGGCTTTTTTCTGTTAAAACAGAATGGAATTTGGTTAGACACAGAAGTGAGAAGAGTAGTGTTGTGCAGACAATTCGGCCGTATCCAAAAACCAATTTTTTTTTTAATTTTAGGATACTTTTCAGACGTATCCAGTACGTATCCGGCGGGTATCCGTATCCAAAAATATCCGATACGGATACTTTGACCATTTTGAAGTATTCGTGCTTCATAGTGAGTAGGTATTCTATGTGTGGTAGTGCAGAGGAGGATTATGTGCATCTTGTTGTGGAATGTAGCTATGCCAGGTCTATTTGAAATAGATTGGCTGGGATGGCTGGGTTTCAGATTATTGATAATGTAAGGCCTTTGGTAAGGATGCAAAGATTATGTAGAGTTTTTAGAAGGCAGTCTTTGGGATGTGGTGTGGTAAGGAGTCTTGCCCTATTAATTTTCTGGTTGATTCGAAAGGAAAGATGTAAGAGAAGGGCTAGGGAAGGGGCCTGAATTCCTATTATGTTTTTCTCAAGCTTTGTAGTATTTTGAGATTTCAAGATAGGAATCTTAGGCCTAAGGTGTCGGATATGGAAAGAGGAGGTGCCTTATTACAGATGCTGGGTATTGTAGTGCCTTATGTGATTAAGGTTAAAACAATATGGGTTAAATGGGAAAGACCTGCAGAGGGGTGTATGTAGCTTAATGTGGATGGTGCTGCTAAAGGCAACCCTGGTATGGCTGGTGGGGGTGCTGTATTGAGAAATGAGTGGGGAGGTGTGGTGTTGGCTGCGGCTTTTTACTATGGTACATGTTCNGCTAAAGGCAACCCTGGTATGGCTGGTGGGGGGTGCTGTATTGAGAAATGAGTGGGGAGGTGTGGTGTTGGCTACGGCTTTTTACTATGGTACATGTTTAAGTATGGGAGCTGAATTCAGGGCCATGTTGGATGGGTTATGTTTGGTGGAAGCTCATGGGTTGAATGAATACAGAATTGAGATAGAATCTGACTCATTGGTGCTAGTCAAGATTATTAAAAAGGAATTTGGATGTACTTGGCCTTTCTTGGATATTTTACAGCAAATTAATCAAGAGTTGGCAAGATTGAATTTTCAACTGAAGCATGTCTTTCATGACGCCAATTTTGTGGCTGATGGATTGGCGAATAAAGCTGTGCAGGATAGGATGTCTTCGGATTTCTCAAGTTCTAATCAATTGCCTTCTGCTATGAGGTTGAATCTGCTCCAGGATTAGCAAAACCTACCTGTTTTGAGGAAAAAGTCTTCTTTGGTGCTTGATGACTTGGGATAGCTGGATCAAAGGTGGCAGGGAGTTCCTGGATGTTATTTTCATTTTGTTGGAAAATCTTGAAGTATTAAAGCCATTTAATGGCTTTCTTGTTTCTTGTAAATTTGTTAATTCTTGTAATTTTTTGATTCTTGTAAAGTCTGATTTTACTCAATAAAATTGTGGCTGATATTACTAAAAAAAAAAAATTATGTTAATTGTCTATGTTGAGCACACTACAAGAGGATAACGCTGGTAAAACCCAAAAAAATGGCCGAAAAATCTTGATTTACAATAGAAAATATGTGAAGAGATTTTCTTTCACCACACTAGAGAGTAATTACAACTAAGGAGAGATTTAGGTAGAACATTTAGGAGAGAATTTATAGCTAATATAGAGAAGAAAATTATAGACCAAAGTTAGTTAAACACATACCTTAAACATGTGGGAGAGATTTTATAAAAGAGAATCAATGATAGATCTCTGGGATCTCATAATTTTGCAATAATACAATTAATTGAATCCAATTTGGCTTAATTTGAACAAACAACAATGATCAATTCATACAAATGTCCCAAGCACAACTTAATCAGATTTGCCGATAGTTTTGTCACGAGAATCATATTTTAGATA